TCGGGAGATTAATATATTTAACAGAAATTGATGCTAACCAATTTAATATTTTTGCAAAATCACAGTTAATTATTAAAATTAAAATATAAAAGAAAACTGCATGATCCAATGATTTTTTATTTTGAATCAGCCCTATATACGTAAAGCTTTAATAAAAAACAAGAATAAGTGCAACATTCCGAGGTACTTATAGGTTACAAGAACCTATATTATCTATTCTACAAGTATTGTTATTCTTCCGAAAGTTGTTTTATCCCACCCAGCACCCCTATTCGCTCCCGGGTCCCGTAAGCTTCTAGACTGAAAAATGTATGAAAAACAAAGTGCAAAAAATGACAGACACATTTCCGCAGGATTTTTTTTGTATTTCTTTGCTCGTAAAGGCTAGTTACATGTGGCCATTTCCGCCACACCTACAACCGCACAGAAGATCTTCCCATGAGACCTGCTGATCATGCTTTTATTGATAAGTTTTCCTTTTAAGTTAATGTTCATTATAAATTCATTCTTTTGTCTGATTTCGTACGTACAACATTCACCCTGTATACTTTTAAATAAGTAATTGTTTTTAAAAAGACTTTCCTTTCGTCGAACAACATAATTGGCTCGTATAAAACAAATATAAGTTCATTTTTCATGTAACTGATTTCGGCTATTCTAAAGTCAAAGCATTTTTTTATGTAAAATAAAAATTAAAAATTTCCGCAGACACTTTTTTGTGTTTTTATGTTTAGAAAAATGTCTAAAACACACCCCGAAGACTAGTTTTGACGTAAGAAATGTCGGCTATACTAAAGTCCGAAAAATGAAAAAGGCGCAATTCCGCAGGAAAATTTTTGTATATTTGTACTTTTAGCGCCTTCTAAACCGCATATATAAAGTCATTTTTTATATAACAGATTTCGGCTAAACGAAGGTTTAGCCTCGTGTTTTAATAGCCAAAACGAATACGTAGATTCTCGCGACAGTTCTCGTGTAAAATTTATTTTTTAAGTAAAATAATGGATGTTTACGAAGTTCGTGAGAAAATTAAAATTGTAATATGGTATTTCCAAAATAGGTCTTATCGGGATATACAAACAATTTTTCCACAAACTTTTGTAAACAGGCCAATTCCATCTTTACCTACTATATCAAGAGTTATTAATAATTTTGAAACACATGGGTGCATGTCCCCACAAAAACACAAAAAGCCTGATGTGTTGATTAATGAAGAACAGGAGTTAAAGCGAGTGTTCGTTTGTGCTAGCGCGGATCAAAATCCCACGTTTTCAAGTAATCAAATTGCTGAGGTAACAGATTCTTCACCTAGCACGGTTAAAAGAGTCCTTAAAAAGAATGGATACCGATCGTATAAAGCTTGCAAAACTCAGGAAATTTTCCATGAAGTCCAATTTCGGCGTATGGCGTTTTGTGAATCTGTAATGGAAAAGGCCAATTTAGATGAAAACTTTATTCGGCGTATAGTTTTCACCGACGAATCAAGTTTTTATTTATTGCGTCGTCATAACTCTACACAAGTGCAATATCGGTCTCGGGAAAATTTGCACAGATATTTTGAGGTACGCACGCAATATCCTCAAAAGCTAAATGTGGTTTTGTAGGGGAGCATATGATTGGTCCATTTTTATAGAGGGTAATTTAACTGTTGCAAAGTATTTGGACTTGTTACAGCAGCAGATTGTGCCTAGAATTCGTGAGTTATTGGGAGAAAGATTCCACAATGTCTGGTTTCAACAAGATGGTTGCCCTGCCCACAATGCCCGTATTGTTCAAGAATATTTGAACAATACTTTTCCCAACCGTTTAATTAGTGGATAAGGAACTATTTTGTGGCCCGCTAGATCACCAGATCTTTCTCCTAGTGATTTCTTTTTGTGGGGTTATGTAAAATCCAAAGTGTATGGTCATAATAGGGCTAATAATCTGGATGAGCTTCAAGTAGACATACGCGAGGCTTTCCAGACTATTAGCCCTAATATGTTAGCCAATGTCAGACGGGGATTTTACGACCGCCTAGGCTTCTGTCTAGCACAAGAAGGTGGTCTTTTTGAACACTTGTTATAACTTTTTTTATTTAGAGTAATATTTTTTTTAATTTTATTGATGTATTTTTTAATTTTGGAGTTTTGGGTATAGAGAATTTATTTATTTTTAGTTTTGGCTTGTAAACACACTCAAATAATAAAAATTTAAGTATTTTTATTTTAAATGTTACCTTAAGTGAAGGTAAACACTTAAAATGAAAATAATAAATACTCGGCACTCCTCGCGCCGTATTTCTAGTCTGCTACGACCGACCCGTCCAAGCACAACTGCAACTGCCTACTGCCTGACCAGCCGACTAGCCGGCAGTGAATCTCAAGTACGAACGCAATCGGGTAAGCGTAAATTCGTCCGGCAAGTTGCTATGTTACTAGTAGCCTGGTCTTCTCTGTATGTACTTTCCGTATTTATTTTAATTCAGAGGGAAGCTTTTGTTCTTCTTGTATTATGATAATAGAAGCCTCAATTTTAAATCTCGTTATAGAGTTGGATTTATCTACCATGGAAGTGTATTTATTTACCATGGATCATTCTACTTATTACAATTATTCTTCTAGAGTAATATTTTAGAAATAACAAAAGAGAACACATTGTTTGCTATCATGAATATAATTTCATATCACTATTACAATTTACAATAGAATATTTTATGACCCAATGGACGTAATGCCCTTTACGCGTTTATCTCATTACCCTTTGACATAGTGGAAAACGTAATGGCGCAACTCTCTGCTTATTTGCATTCGTCTAATCAGGATATTGTAGGAAATAGAGCAAAGGGCAAATTTGCTTAGTCCTTTGATAAGGCCATAGGAACCCTCCCTTTGACATTTCAATTGTGCAAAATTTGGCATTTTCGGGGTAAGCGAATCTTTGTCAATTATTTACTATAACAGTGGTTTGATTCATGTTTATTCAGTGTTCATATTATTTAAAACTTTCTTAGTTTATTTCTTACTTTTTATGTTCTTCTTCTTATACAGGGTCCGGCAATAGTGCGTCGGGCATCTGTAGCTCTTAGAATAAAAAATTTGGAAATTTTGTTTAAGTGCAAACCAAGGATATATAGAATAAGGATATTCGACTGGCCCAAAAAAAACGTGCCGTATTTTGTCGAGGAAGACGATTTCGTCACGACCAATGGGCGTCGAGTATTTGAAATTGAAAACATATAAATTGACGGTAACCTATGTTTTTTGACTCATTTCACCATCATTTCACTATTAGTTCTGTTATCTGTGATTTCACTGACAAATGTGATGAGATTGTTATTGTAATTTATAGATCCAAAATCCAAACGTTTTTTGAATAAATAATTTATTTTAAAGTTATTTCCTAGAGGTTTGGTTTGGCCTTCTATATTCTGGTATTTGTCTACTAATAAATAATATCTTATTTTGTATTGCGATGTATGGAAATCCGCAAGTTTTGTATCTGAAGCCGCAAAGAAATTTCGCTCTATAGTGAGAAAAATTTTTTATCTTTTTAGACGCGTAGAATAACAAAATTTCTTATTTCAGATGTTCTAAATGTGAGTGCTTAATGTCAAAAATTAAAATATATACTTGAAATATTTCAAGTTATACCCTTTGCCCTTTGGAAGTAAACAAATATTGAAGAAAGTGTTGTGCCTTCACAGAATTTAAATTGGCATTAGGAATAGATTTCCTTGATTTAGTAATGATATTGCTCATAGAAATTGGTAATATACTATTTTATATTCACTCGTTCAAGTGCTGATCTATTTTTAAACTGAATATTTATGTAAGTATTATGTATAACACGATATAAATAATTTAAGGACATAAGAAATTAAAATTTCAAGTGCCAATATTGATTATTTTTCCAGTTTTATTCAAATATATTGAAATTAATATGGAAACAAAAGTTCATAAATATTAGTTTGAAAAGCCATGTCAGAAGAGTAGGATTAAAGACACAGTATTAAGGTAACATATATTTGCATAAAGTTTTAATAACACTAACAGTTTTATTTGTTTATGTTTATTAATTAAAATTTAGTTGCAATTTATTTCATATTCTAATATTTTTGAGAAAATTTTACTTAGATACATACCTGAATATTATGCTGCTTTTTTATTTTAAAGTGTGCCGACTGTGCTGTTATTTTTATACTAGTAATATTGTATACTGTAGGTATCGTATTCATATATAGTTATATATTTATCAGTAGTATAGATACTTACTTTCTTTCTATGTGTACTTATATCCTTTATAGCCTTTCTAAGTGCATATAATACTACTTTTTTAAGAGAAGGCAGTTTTTAATAATCTATTGTTAATTCCCTAAAAAGAATTCCCTTTAAATTATATTTTTTTATTATTACTGATTTTAAAAGTTTCTTTTCAAAGAATTTGACCATATATTTTTTTTTCAGAGTAATTGGGCTGTTCCTGAACAATATTGAATATAAATATTCAAAAATATGATTGATAACTGCATATCCTACTAAGTAGATCAATACCAAAATCCCATTAGAGAAATAAGTTAAAATTATGTTTTACTTGTATAATTTTCTTGCTATTTGTCCACCATTATTTGTGACTTAGAAATTAAATAGTCAAAAAGAATATAGTACCAGTTTTTATTTCCCAAAAAAAATAATTATTAAATAATTACATATTGCTTAAGATACAGTATATTATATTGTGTTTATAGTTGATAATTCTAGTTCTTAGTTGTTTATAGTTGATAATTAACAATATTTCTGATGTTAGATATTATATTTGATAAAAAATTTAATTACCAATAGCTACCTACCTATGTAGCTGCAGATTATATATTGTGTAGTAGGTACTGTATAATTCTTTAGTTCAAGAAACAAATATCAGTACAAGTATATAACCAAAAAAATGTTAATGCAAATACTTTGTATAACATACGTACCCCTATGGTATTCAACTTTTCATTGTTCTTTTAATTAGATACACAATAAGCACATTAATTCGTTTATTAAACAACCAAAACTCTAACTACTTAAATTCACAATATAAATATCACAATAAATGTATAAGCTTTGATCAATTCCTATTATTAATACCTGACGACTTTATAACTACCAATGGCTATCCTACTAACACACTAGCCAACTAATAATAAATCTGTTCTAAAAAAATACAACATAAAGACATCGTTATTGCAGTAATATAGAAATATATTCCATGTATCATTAACTACCTAGGTATAAATACAATACCCACATCTTCTTTTACGCGAATAGTGCGTTAGGAGGCAGAAATATTGCCTGCATTGTACATCGTACAAATTGGCTAGAATTTATTAATATCCATTGCAAACATTTCTCTTTCAAAGGGTCTAAATGTTTTGTCTTTTTACTGTGTCCCTGTAATATGTTATCAATTAACAACAGTTATCAAATATGACCTGAACAATAATAATTGTTTTAACTTTTTCAAACTAAACTCTTTAAACAAACTATATAAATAAAATTTATCTCATAACCTAACTTGCTGCTAGAATTTCTTTCTTGTTATTCTATGTTCCTGTATTGTTATTCTTCACATTATCAATTTCTATGAGCAATATCATTACTAAATCAAGGAAATCTATTCCTAATGCCAATTTAAATTCTGTGAAGGCACAACACTTTCTTCAATATTCCAAAAATACTTCCAAAAAATGTCAAAGCATATAACTTGAAATAATATATCAAGTATATATTTAAATTTTTGACATGCACTCACATTTAGAACATCTGAAATAAGAAATTTTGTAATTCTACACGTCTAAAAAGATATAATAACATTTTTCTCACTATAGAGCGAAATTTCTTTGCGGCTTCAGATACAAAACTTGCGGATTTCCATACATGGAAATACAAAATAAGATATTATTTATTAGTAGACAAATACCAAAATATAGAAGGCCAAACCAAACTCTAGGAAATAACTTTAAAATACATTATTTTTTCAAAAAACGTTTGGATCTATAAATTACAATAATAATCTCATCACATCTGTCAGTGAAATGAGTCAAAAAACATAGGTTACCGTCAATTTATATGTTTTCAATTTCAAATACTCGACGCTCATTGGTTGTGACGAAATCGTCTTCCTCGACAAAATACGGCATATTTTCCTACATAGCCCGCTATAGGGAGTTGAATATCCTTCTTCTATATATCCTTGGTGCAAACCTAAAGTATGTACCAGGATGTATTTCAGGAAAATATTTTAACTTCTATAGGGTGGCTCAAAAAAGTTTGAATGGCTGGGGATGACTTTATTTAAACGGAACACCCTGTATATTATTGTATTTTTCGCTTCCTTTCAGCTTATTTTTCAGCCTTTCTTAAAAAAATTCTTAAAAATATTAGAACTGTCCTGAAATCAAAACTGTATTTTTATTAAATGGAACACTCTGTATATTATTTTTTCAATAGATGGAGAATTAAAAAATTAACATTTTTTTTTATTTAGAGTATTTCAAAATTCTTAACGGTTTTGCAGATATTCGCAGTTTTATTTTTATTTCATATGGCATCTTCCACAGTAAATTTTTATCAAAGATCCATGATTGATTTTTCTCTCGTATTTTACCATTGATAAAGCCATGTGAAATAATACTGCTTGTATCTCCGAAACCATTAAAAATTTTGAAATACTTTAAATACAACAAATTTATTTTTAACATTTTTAGTAGTATTTTCGTGCATAATTTAAAATTTTCAAAAAAATAAAATTGGTATATTTTGCTCATAATTAGTGATGGGCAAAACTGTTATTTTTAGATAACAGTTGAAACTGTTATAGTTATTTATAAAGAACAGCTTAAAATAACAGCTTAAAAATAACAGGTTTCTTTATTTTATTGCTAAATATCTGAAAGAGTACGAGGCGGTCGCCGCCAGGCGTATTAACGCAGTTGCAAGTTGCAACAATGACATGCTCGGTGGTAGTATTTCCAGGGTGTCAAAACATTTCTAAATATCGATTGTTATCTAAAAGACCTCTCTAAAAACGGTGGTTGTTTACAAATAAGCGCTGTTTACAAATTGCGATATAAAAAAGCCAAAATTTCGCCACTCGTCTATACGTATACATTCCGATCTACCTACGCCTTGCCCCTCGATCCGCGAAGATCCTGAATTGCGTAGTAGTGTACAGGTTGCATCTCACTCGGCGGGCGAGAAGCTCTTATTTATAATTTTACCATTTGCGGTCAAAAAATAGCTATATAAGAAAATGTGTAGTATATTCTTCATAAGTAAACCAACTACACACTAGAGTTCGAATTAATTTTACACTTAAACTAGCGTGTACCCGCGACTTCGTTGGCGTCGTTACAAATTATTAATTAATTTGTAATGGTGATGATAAAGCAAAGCAAGAGTTTCTATTAACATACAAACTGGATAGAATTTTCTCACATTTGCCAAAAATAAGCTTTAAACGTCGACCAGTTTAAGCAGAATCGTGGTTAATCAATTACTCAACTTTTTGGAACACCCTGTATGATTTTTTAAAAAAATTCGAAATATATAAAAAAGCAAAATAAATTATGCGTGTCCAAGCGTTTTCCCGAAAGACTAACCGTTTTTTAAATAACAAATATTGTAATATTTGAGGGGCGTTTTCATCCTCTTGGAATTTGAGATTCGAGAAACTCCTCTTTATCGAACCTCAACCCCACAGTCAATCCGTTTGCCAAAAATCAGCTTTAAACGTCAAGCAGTTTAAGCAGAATCGTGATTACTCAATGGTCATATTTTATGAAACACCCTGTATATATTTTTAAAAAATCTTAAAATATGTAAAACAACAAAATAAAATATACGTGTTTAAGAGTTTTTCCGAAAAACTCACCGGTTTTTAAATAAAAAATATTCTAATATTTGAGGGTGGTTTCACCCCCTTAGAATTCGAGTTTCGAAAAATCCCTTCTTATCGAACCTTTACACCCTAAAGTCAATCCATTTTCCAAAAATCAGCTTTTTACGTCAAGGGCTTTAAGTAGGATCGTGATTAATCAATGACCAGATTTCTCAAAACACCCTGTATACATTTTTAAAAAATCTTAAAATATTATTCTGAAAATTAGTCAGAATAAATAAATACCTAAATATTGAAACTTAATAACGTACTGAAACATACAGCGCCATAATATCTCGACCTCCGCCCGTTATGCTCGTAACAGGTTGAAAAACAGTGTATTTAAAACAACTGATCCGTTATTCTCCAACCTGTTTCAAACCTCCATCGACAATCGACCGATGCAGCAGCATTCCTTTCCCACTCCGATTATTTCGATCGCCGCCCTGTTATGCTCGTAACAGGTTGAAAAACAACGTATCTAAAATGACTGCTTCTCCAACCCGTTGCGAGCCTCCATCGACAATCGACCGATGCAGCAGCGTTCCTTTCCCACTCCTGTTATCTCGACCGCCAGGCGTTATGCCCGCAACTGTTTCAAAAAACCTGCTTCTTTTATATCCTATTATTTTTAAGCTGTTGTAAGCCCAATCGACCGGTTGGCGTTATGTTATTGCTAAATAATTGTTATAAAATAACAGATAGTTAAATAACAACCCATCACTACTCATAATTACTATATTAAACGGGAACAATAAATTAACATAGTTCATTAAATCAAAACAATGATTCCACTCAATGGACACGTTTTTTGTAAATTAACGCTTCAAACATTTGCTAAAACAGTTTTTGCTTGTTATCTCGAAACAACGTTTGTGGGATAAGACGGGTTTTGCAACTTGACGCCTCAAATGTTAAAATCTACTTAGGATTTTAGGTATATCTTAAAACTTACGTTTTAAGATAGATGTTTAAAATACTTTTTTAAAATAAAGCAATAACAATCTACCAAAAAAAAATTAAAAAAGTTTAAAAGAAAACGCCCAGAGAAAAAACTTTCCCAAGTTTAAACTAAGACCTGCAATATTTTAAAGTGATTATTTGTCTCCGAACTCGACTGGATTATAATCTTTCGGAAGAGTGCTTAGTTTTTTCTTCTTCCGAGATTAGTTTGGATTAGTTTTCCCCGGATCGCATCGAGCGGAAAGTTTCCAAACTGGAGGCAGGTTTTATCTGCTGGGAAATCATTACATGATAGAGAACTAATGTCGGGACATATTTTTTGATCTGGGAGTTTTAAAGGATATTTAGGTGAGGTATTGAACGGAAAATAGGACGACGCTATACCGATGAAAGGGATTTTGTCCTGGAAATAGATTTTCCCTTGTTTCGCTTCAAAGTCCGTTGGAAGTTTAATACTAAGGGCTGACAAAGGTTAGTCTTGGGTCGAGATTTCCGTATGTAAGAAGAGTACAATGCGTTTATAATATACTGAACAAAGAGAGGACAGTGAACACGTTGCCAAACGTATGAAATAAACCGAGAAACTGTGCACATCGCTAAGAGACGTGGAAGGGGATATAGCAAATTTTGTCGCAGTTGACCGGTCGACCCAACCAATACCTCTGTCAGTACTTAAAGTTCTAGGGAAGGGTGTACGTCATGCGTTCAGCTTCACGATTTAATTACGTCTCGTGATACTTAATTTGTTTATTTATTAACGAGTCGTTGTAATTTTCCCTATAGCTTGAATTTTTTTAAGTGCAAGCTAGAAGCACTTGAATTTTTGGTAAAAATAAGTGGAATTGAGTGGGTGGTCGATAGTGGTGGCGCTATTAGAACTCTGAATTCAAAAATCGATATCTCGAAATCTATTAGAAATAATAGATTGTAGTTCTTTCAAGAACTTTTGTTACGGTCGCATTTCTCTCACTCCGACTTAATAAGATCCCTATGCGATTTACTTCCACACATGTAAATGCCGACCCAAAAGTAACAGTTGCCAGCACGGTATACACTTAGATGCAAAAAAAAACGTTACGGAGAAATTTTTCGTCAGATTTAAAGTGTTATATTTCTGTTATTTTTAGCTCTATTTTTATGAATTTTTTAGCTATATGAAATTTAATTCGTGAACTAACTTTTTTATAAACTTTAGTATTTGGCATATTATACAGGGTTAATTGAAGGGTTGTTTTTTACCCTAACTGTAAAACACCCTGTGCAACAATTTCGTGTGTAAATTTTCCTAAAATATAATTTTACGACCAGAACCATGACCTCTGAACATTTTGTTTTTTGATTCATGTCAATACATGCTATGGTCAATTTTTATGAGCGAAATGAACTGATCGCGATCAATTTGCAATTTTTTCAATTATTATTCTTTTTTGATGTGGACTGTCGCCGTAACGTCATATTACGCCTGCTTTGGATACTCTATAATAAATAAAAAAAAACAGTATGTTCCAAACAATTTGATTTTATCAGGTATTTTTAATTATATGTCCCGAACAGTTTAAGTTTAAACAATAAATTACATTAGCTTTTTGGAATAAAATAAATACAACTTTG